GAGAAATATGGAAAACCCGGCCAGCAAGCCATGCTCTTCCCAGTCCCCTCCGTGGCCAAGAGGTGTCTCGAATTCATGAAGCCCCGGGTCTCCTCACCTGCAGTCTTCTCAGAGATCTCGATAGTAGACCTCTCTCTCGACCCGTCTCAGGAAGTCTCGCCTATGCTGCGAAAACTATCACCCACAATCTCAGCCGTCGTCTACCCAGACGAGTGCCAACCCATCGCAAAGCAGTACTGGCAACACACCGGTGACGGCGTCTCCAGTCGGAGAGCCGAGTTCTGCCACGACCTTTTCAAGAGCGAACTCCTCGTCCCAACTTCCTCCTCACCCAGTGTCCGAACTACTCCTCCCCCAGAACCAGCCACCCCTCGGCCCTTCAAAGGCCCCAGGCGCTACCAGCGACCCGGCTCCATCGACGGCATCAAGAAGCCCCCTTCCCCGCCATCATCCGCGGGACTCAACGGCAACGGCAACACCATCAACGAATCCCAGGAGAGCTCCCGCTTCGTCGAGGAGCGCTTCGGTCGCAACCTCGACCTCTCGCTCGTCGAGCGCGCCAAGTCCGCCATCAGGAGACGCATCGCCGGCGCCGTCGCCGCCGACCTCCCGGACCACGCCCTCCCCGCTGGTGTCGACATCGGACCCAACTCACGCGGCCTCCACACCCTGCGCGAGAACGACGTCTACCTCTTCCCCGCGGGCATGAACGCCATATTCAACGCCCACCGCGCCCTCTTGGCAGCCGCGGGCGACGCTCCGAAGAAGAGCATCAACCTGGGCTTCCCCTACGTCGACACCCTCAAGATCCTGCAGAAGTTCGGCCCGGGGTGCGTCTTCTACGGCAACGGCTCCGACGAGGACCTCGACGATCTCGAGGACCGCCTGCGCCACCGGGGGGAGCGCTTTCTCGGCCTCTTCTGCGAGTTCCCCGGTAACCCTCTGCTCAAGTGCCCGGACCTGGCGCGCATCCGCCGCCTCGCCGACGAGTTCGACTTCGCCGTCGTCGTCGACGAGACCATCGGCACCTTCTCCAACATCAACGTCCTACCCGCCGCCGACATCGTCGTCAGCAGCCTGACCAAGATCTTCTCGGGCGCCTCCAACGTCATGGGCGGCAGCGCCATCCTGAACCCCGAGGGCAGGCACTACGAATCACTCAAGAGGGCCATGGAAGAGAACTACGAGGACACATATTGGCCCGAGGACATCGTGTTTATGGAGCGGAACAGTCGAGACTTCTTGGACCGCGTCGACCGCATCAACGCCAACGCGGAGGCTATCTGCGACGTGCTGCGCTCGCACCCGGCCGTGAAGGCCGTCTACTACCCCAAGCACAACCCCACCAAGCCCTACTACGACGCCTACCGGCTCCCCAACGGCGGCTACGGCGGCCTCCTCTCCGTCGTCTTCCACCATCCTCCGCAGGCGGTCGAGTTCTACAACACCATGGAGATCGCCAAGGGTCCCAGCCTGGGAACCAACTTCACGCTAGGCTCCCCGTACGTCCTCCTCGCCCACTACGGCGAGCTGTCCTGGGCCGCTGAGTACGGCGTCGACCCCGATCTCGTCCGGCTGAGCGTTGGCCTCGAGGAGACCTCTGATCTGGAAGAAAGGTTCCGTAAGGCCCTTGCAGCAGCGGAGAATGCCTCGACGACGGGGACCGGATCTGACGTGCCGGCGCAATGATTGATTGGCCTCGCTCCCGACCCCTCGAGTTAGAATGATGCAGCTCATCTCGGACTGACCGAGTTGGTGGAGGAGGTCGTGGAGGCGACGGGGTAGGGGAGAGAGCCCACGTGCGAAATAGCAATCTTGAACCGACGCTTGGAGACCCTCATCACATTCCCCCATCCCGATGTAAAAGGCGGTTGTACATAGTTGTCGTGAGGGCCGCGTTCAAAGCGGGACTCAATCAATGAACAATGAATAATTATCCAGCGAGAGTGGTTCCCTTCCAAATGATGTCCATAGTTGCGAAAGCGCTAGCAAAGCAAGTTCATCAAATCACATTACGCTGCACTCTTGATGTTTATATCCCGGGCCGTAGTCTTCCAGCCCACGCTCGATTTGGTTGTGGCGCTCCTTGTCCGAAACTTCTGTGGGAAAGTGCTTCTTCATGTACTTTGCCAGATCGTCGTCCAGGTGCACTAGTTTCCCACGCGGTTAGCTGCCATGACGGCTCCCACGTGCTCGGACCATTGGCCCAGGGTCGGTAGAACTTACTGATCGTGGCCTTCATCACCACATCTGATCTACAGAGTGGGCAGTGCGACTCGCGGCTGCGCTGTATCTTGATGATGCAGCGAAGGCAGAAGATGTGGCTACAGTCGAGCTTGACGGGGCGGTATGCCACCATGAAGCAAATCGGGCACAGGTAGTCGTTCAGCTGGGGCACCACGTTGGTGAGGTGCTGGGACATCTGGGCGCAGACGTCCCTGCCGATCGCGCCAGTCATGAACTGGTGGGACTGGATCGCGGACCGGAATGATTTGGAAATGCCAAAGGATGTTCGCTTGTCAAACTCTACCAGGCAAGGTTGGCGCGGTTAGCGTTGGGGGGTCTCCTAATCGCTCTACCTTCATTCCAAGTAGGTACTCACTTTTCAGAATTTTGTGGACAGCAAGCTGGTTGATCTCCTGGAACTGGAGCATCTTGAGGAGGTTGGCGTTGATCCGTAGGAACCGGTCGTAAGCCACCTGGCTCTGGGGTATCTTGAAGATCCTCTCCAGCTCCCGCTTCTTGACCTCGCCCTGAAACCACTGCAGCTTCTTCAGCGCAAGCTGGCTGGATCGGGCGCCATGCTCCTGTTCGTGGGTCGCGAAAAACACCTCAGCGTCGAGGTACAGCTCGAAGATGTTGCGCCAGGGGATCATATCCGTCCTGTGCACCTTGCGAGGCTTTGTGATTTGTGCCAGGTCTTCGCCAAGGGCCTTGATCTCGTCGGTCATTTGCTGTCGCTCGGTGTCCTGGAGGGAATCGATGTTGCTGACATCGCTCTGGAGCATCTCGAAGAACTCATGGTCGAAGACGAGAGGTAGTTCGATGGTTTCATGCCTGCGGTTCTTCCGGTGCTGAATTTCTGAATTCTGGTCTTGGATGGAGACTTCGTCATCCTGCCCTGCATCAGACGAGTTGCCAGAGGTACTGCCAGAGTCATTCTGTTGGCCGTGTCGCACTTCCGAAGCAATCTTCTCGAAAAATAAGCGGGAGGCTGGCGTCAGGGAGGCTTCGACAATAACATCGTCTTCAAGGTAAACATCGACTGTGAGCGTCGGTCTGACGATATCAGAATTCTCGGAGGCTACGAGCACGATTAGCAAGCGCAATCGCTTAAGCAGAAAGCGCAAGGTAAGAATGTACCAATTAGTCGATACTTGAGAGCCACGGGGGAGTGATTCTCGGGGTCGATGAGAGACTGAAGAGTGTCGTGGTCCAACCCCAGATCCTTGAGTTCTTTCAACACCTTCTTCAAGCACTTCTTGAGCTGGCCGTAGGGAATCGCATGCTCAACCCAGTGGGACGGGAAGTCTGCATTGTTGGGTGATTAGGAACTGACATTCCAGCTGGTATATAGGGTTGACGAGGCAAGAATACGGGGGTTCAACCTACCTTGAGTGGCAAGCGTTTCCTTGAAATCCTGCCCGAACTTCATGATGGCGGTCTAAAGGCAACGGTTGAAAACAAGGCTAAATAGCAACCTTTGCGGGTATACAATGCGAATAATCACGAAGCAGTCATAGTCCACTTGGGGAAAGCAACAGACAAGAGACAGAAAGGGGTATCGTCGAAGACATTAAACCAGATCAATATCCAAAAATCGACTAGAAGGGCGGGCGAGGGCGCTGGAGGGGAGGGATGGAGGGGCTATATACAAACCAGGTGCCATGCAAACCATCCCCAGCCCTTGGCACCCTGTTGATACTTGAATGAGCAAGCGCGTGATCAGTTTCCCGGTTGAGCAGACAGACACAGTCTAGGGTGTGCGGCTTGCACCTACGCGAAAATCGAGAACACGGGCAAGCACGGACCCAGGGCTGGCAAGTAACAGTACCTGATGGCCATTACAGCGATTATGGCCAGGCGGGTAGCGGTACTCGCCGTGCCGAACTTCCAAGTCATGCCTGGATGATGTGCCTGGTTAGCTCGACGAACTGGTTTGACAAGCACTTGTATGATTGGCCGTCTGCTGCCCTGCAAGGGGGCCACGCGGAGCAGTTGTAACGAGAATTTTACATTCAACCGTCTTGAATCGTCATCATCTAGGTAATTTTCGGCTCTCGTAAGATCTCGGCCGCCTCTTGGCTTCGAATCGCATCCCGACATTGTGCTACGGACTAGGGCCATTCTAGAGCAATCGAGGCGCCGTGGCTGCCCCGAGGCTGAACCCTCGACGGACTCGGGCCTAGGTATATATACCTGGCCATGGAGCATTCCAATCCCATTTTGTATGTCACTGTCGGTACTGTCTCGTCTCTATCAATATCATAGATCAGATCAGAGGCTGATCTGATCCGCCATTCAGATAGCAGCTAAGGTCGAGGGGGCAAACAAGCAGCCAGCCCTGGGAGGAACCGACTTTTCCCCTGTCACATGAATGCCAAATCAACTTTCAGCATTTTCAACGTGCCCAACACATATGAAGGGACTAATTCCCATGCTACCTCGCGTCATATGCATATTGAAATTTTCATGTCTAGGGTATGAGAGAACATGACCCTGAATGAGTCAATGAGGGGCAGGCGGGGCACCCCCAAAAGCTAGAACCAGCGGCGAAGCCAAGAAGGCAGAAAATAGCGGCTTCGTGCCACCAATGACCGCTTTGCACAGTCATTCGGCGTACATGCGTGTGCGCATTATTTGGGCCACCCATTTGACAATTTCGCGACAACCCCATCGTGTTAAATAAGGACGGAGCAGCTTTTCGCATTTGGGGATGGGAATTAAAACCGCAATACACGATCTAGTCACCCCTGTCGCCCTATCGATATCCGATCTAAATGGGTGCGCAACAGTCCTCCAGCCAGGGTAGTGGCAACGACGCCGCAGCTCCCACGCAAAAGACGTGCTACTACGAGCTGCTAGCAATCGACAAACATGCTACCGATGAAGAGTGAGCACATGAAGCCAGCCCCTCCACGGCTGGGCAAGAGTTATGAACCAGGGCGTTAACGTTGACCGAGGATCAAAAAGGCCTACCGTAGAAAGGCGCTCGAACTCCACCCCGACCGTAATCTAGATAATGTTGCCGTCGCGACCCAGAAGTTCGCAGAAGTCCAATCCGCCTACGAGGTCCTCTCCGACCCCCAGGAGAGGGCATGGTACGACTCCCACCGTGATGCCATCCTCCGCGGGGAGGACGCCGACGGCGGCGGCGGCGACCAACCTTCGACGTTCCGCAATGTTCGCCTGACCTCCACCGAGGAGATCCTGAGCCTGATGCGAAGATTCAACACCACAATACCCTTCAACGACGAGCCCACGGGCTTCTACGGGATCGCGCGGGAGACCTTCGAACACCTGGTCCTGGAGGAGCAGGCCGCCGCCGACTTCGACGATGTCGACTGCCCCGACTACCCCACCTTTGGCCAGAGCGACGACGACTACGACACGGTAGTCAGGACCTTCTACAGCTCCTGGGCCAACTTCTCGACGAGGAAGTCCTTCTCGTGGAAGGACAAGTACCGGCTGTCAGATGCCCCCGACCGTCGCGTCCGCCGCCTAATGGAGAAGGAGAACAAGAAGCTGCGCGAGGACGCCGCGCGCGAGTTCAACGACGCCGTCCGGTTCCTTGTCACCTTCGTCCGGAAGCGCGACCCCCGATACCTTCCCAACAGCCAGACCGAGTCCGACCGCCAAAAGGCCATGCGCGACGCGGCGGCGGCGCAGGCGGCCCGCTCGCGCGCAGCCAACCAGGAGAAGCTCGCCTCGGCCCAAGTTTCAGATTGGGTGACGGCCCGGGAGAACGAGGTCGAGGAGGACCATTTCGAGGAGTCCGAGGAGTCCGAGGAGGAAGAGTCTGAAATCGAGGTTCTGGAATGTGTTGTGTGCAACAAGGAGTTCAAGAGTATAAACCAACTCGAGGCTCACGAGAGAAGTAAGAAGCACACCAAGGCTGTGCAGCAACTTCGTCGTCAGATGAGGAAGGAGGGTGCCGAGTTGGAGCTGGACTCGGGGACGAAATCACATACGAAAGAAGAAGCGAACTCAAAGTCGAAATCGAAATCAAAGGACAACTTAGATTCGGAATCAGAAACCGAGGCTGATGCGCCGCAGGCTCAAAGTCCCTCCTCACCAAGCATTGCACCACAAGAAGATCTAGCTGCAGAGGATAGCAAGAACAACGAATCGCAAGTTCCCGAGCAGGATGCCGATACGCCCAGTTCTGACGACGGTGATTATGCGCCTCGCAGCGCTGTTCAGGATCGGTTGTTCGAGTCGGACTTACACGTTGTTGTGGACGAAGACGACCAAGAGCTGGCTGCAGCGTTGGGCGAAACCTCCATCAACGAAACTGCCGCACCAGAAAAGAAAAAAGGAAAGGCAAAAATGAAGAGAGAAAAGAAGGCGGCCCGTGAAGCAGAGGCTACAGACACAGTAAGTACAGCGCCGCTCCCGCGTTGCGCTACGAAATTCAGAGGCCAGCACTGACGCGAGTTCCTAGCATCGATGCGGTGTGTGCCAAGAGACGTTTCCGTCACGGACAAAGTTGTTTCAGCATATTAATGATGAGGGTCATGCTACGCCTGTGCCATCAAGTACCAAAAAACGCCCCAAGGGCACGAGGAAGCGATAGACACCCAGCTTCCCTCACTGTCACGAAAATTAGAAAGAACGCTTTGTGTATTCAACTAAGGCTAAAGAAATTCGCACATGATATGGGCGCATATTCGTAATGCCCACTGAGTGCGGCCATCACATTTCAAACAAATCGAAGTTACCAGAGCGCCAAGAGGGATTCTGTCCCAGAACGCCATAATCGCCGAGATAATGATAACCGTCGAGAGAATTGGGACTATTTGTCCTGGATCGTATCTTCGTCTTCTTCGTCATCGCTCAAGGGCTCAACTTCATCAATAGCTCCTTCTCTGCCCTCGGGTCCGTAGCCCCCAGGCAGGCTAGGGTCGTGGTCTGCAACGTGAATGATCGCTTTGCCTTGTACATGCTTGACGCACCGCTTCCAGTCCTTCCAGTCGTCTTCGGAGCGGATTAGAAAGCCGACCAGCATGCTAGGGTCCATTTCGCGAACGTGAATACGTCGTAGTCGGTTCGTATGGCAGGAATCAATCTCCTCATCCGTATACTCAGCTAGGTTTTCGTGATATGGTAGAGCTCTCCTTGTATGATGAGGATCTAGATAAAAGAGAAATGAACCTTGAGCTCCAGCGAAATAGTGAGCTGATGAAGGGCGTCCACTATGGTGACTGTTAGAGCATATCAGCAGCGTTTGGGGCCCGAAGACAACCTACCCAGCAATACCAACAGACTGTGGCATTTGCAGAGCCGCAATGAGTGCCTCCCAATAAACAGGCGTGATCTTGTCGATGCCCAGCCTAGTTCCCACCAGGATCAGAGTCGGATGGAACTCCTCACCTTCAGGTTTAGCAACCTTCATAAAACTGTCCTCATAGACGTCGGGCCCTTCTCCAGTCGAATAAACCCGTAAAGATGGCTCATGAGCATTGGCCAGGGCGCTGTAACAGGCCAGTCAGCTGTATTCATCGAACCTTCAGGCTAAAGCGTGCAGAGCCCAGCACTTACCGAATGCATCTAGCAGTAGCGGATGGTCCAAACCACTCTCCAGGGTATTTCCCACAAGCTTCTGCCCCATGCTTGACAAAATTATGAATCGAGTATGGGGCCTTCGGGTCATCAGAAAAGCTACGAATGAGCTCTCGCTCTTCTTTCTTCAGACTTCCACGACGCCAATCTATTCCGATGTTAACATAAAGCTTCTTCCCCGCGGGGGACAAAGGAGCAGAGGGAGTATATACCTCGACCCAGGCGTAAGATAGCGATCGAGTTGGCAAGAAGGCTCTGACCAGATCTAATCATACACCCCCATCCGCTGTCCGACGAGAATCCAGTCTGGTCTCCACCTAACTGGCTCTTAATGCGCATGGAAAGTGAAAGAGACGACCGTGCCTTTGGGTCAGAGGATCTTGCGATAGGCTCAAATTCAAACCTATATGTCATCCAGAACTTGGATTCAAAGTCATCTAAAAATCCCTGGGGCCAGTGTCCAGCGTCGGTCGACTCATCATATGCGAGGGAGGATGAGAAGCTACTGGAAGTCGAGTCTGGTGGTGTCTCCCAACCTGAGTTTGTTGCAGGGACAGGTTTGGCCCGGTCCTCCTTCAGCGACTCTACACTTTCAGCAGTTGGAGTAGTATCCCTCTCGATTTTTTTGGTGTTGCTTTGGCTTGCCAGCTGGTATGAACGGCCCAAACACCATATAGGCTGGTCCTGGATGGCATCGTTGACTGGTTCCGGATCCCAAAACAGCTGCACTATGCGACGGTAAGGTCCTAGGTCGACGTTGGCCAACTTGCTCTCCATAACGAGTTTTTGTCAAGGCGCAACGCGTATATAAATAGCCCAAGATTTGGGATGCGTTTGTGCGGATATAAAACCAGGACACCTCACAGGGCAAAGATGGAGGTGGGAACCAGAACGACCCGCCGTGAATAAGCGAGGACGGAAATCAGACGCGGCCGATGGTCACATATAGAAGCGGTGTGTGCAATAAGGCCAGGCGTATCAAGAATGTTCACTGAACACCAAGACTAGATGGTCCGGCTTCGACAGCGTGGGGTATTTGATGAAGGTATGCTGGAAGTATCACAAACCGACAGCCCCAGCTCCACCTCGAGACACACGCTGCACAGACGTATCTGGGGGAAAGCTGAATGGTGATGGCCGATTTCCAAGCAGGTGCGGAGTCCCCTTTGGATAGTAGTAGCGGACGAATTTCCAAGGCCTGGCGATGCAGAGAGACGAAGGCACAGCGATATGCCTTAATGACCTGAGAGTCACAATCCCAAGCACGAGGCAATGACGACGTAAGTTGATCATCAGTCATCCACCAGGCCGAATGAATAGCGGCTGGAAGCTGCGGCCAGGTGGGGCCCTTGACCCCGCTGCAGCTGACTTCTGCCTTAGAGATGGATCCCTCTGGCCAGGTAGCACTTCTATGTGTACAAAGCTAACTTGCCGCTGAGAGGCCGCATGACAGCTCCAGTAGGCCAGTGGAGGTCCGCTTTGCAGGAACTCAGGGAGACAGCGAACCACTGAAACAACTGCTCCATTTTCCTCGTGTTAGGCAGACTGAGGTACTCACCTAGCACTCAATTACTGCTCATCTCCGTAAATGAGGCAAGCAGTAGATTCGAATCCAAGCCATGAATTTACGGAGCATAAATTTCATATTGTATTGCATGGCCATCAATCATTTCCCCCAAGGAGAAAAGTATTGGCTGTATCTTCCAACAATGACAGCACATGGAACATCCCGATCGCCCACCTTTCCCCGTAGCACAAAGTGGATCAACGTGCCAGCATTATCGATAGCGCTTTTCTAGGAAGGCACTGCTGACGGCATTCATTGAAGGTTTCTTTGTACCTGCCTAAGCTCACCAAGAGAAGACTCATCCAGACTCATCCTCACTGTTCAGGAACCCACCAAGCTTCGCGGCTCAAATCTTTTTTATCCTGGACACATTCACTGTCTGTGACTTCCCATCCAAATTCGATTTTAACCCTGGACAGTTATCGAATACGATCGGCGTAACGTCTGTCATATCGCTACTTGATATACCTACACAACAAACAAAAACCCTAATTACCTAGCCTTTAGCCACCTCTCAACATGGATTGTACTGTATTCCATCAATACTAAATTATGGCAAAGAAACAAAAGCGAGGGGGTGCTTCAACCCCGAGAGGTGGGAGGGGTGGAAGGGCTGGCTTTCGTGGAGGTGGCCGATTCGCACCACAGATCACGAACACACCACTAAACGGTTCATGTGAGTAATTGACTTGCTTGTCAGAGAGCGAGGGGCTGGCAGCCATGTGCACCCTACACGAGTGTACCCCAAATACTAAGCCATGCTAGACATGAGCCTTGCCGAAGAGGCACGGCAAACTTCCAGGCAAAATCATTCATTCTGGGAGCAGGGTTCCAGCCTCCGTAGCAGGCCAGTGAAATTTGTCAGTGCTGGGACAAGCGAGCCGCTGAAGCAGCTCGATGAAGAAATTGTCAAAGCAGATGATGCGCAGTTGGTCCGATCTCTCCACGGAGAAACCACGCCGCAAGTACCGGGTGCAACAATCCCCAGTATCCCAATCAGCAATCCCGCACTTGACGATGAGTCGAAAACGGCCCCGGCATCTCCAGCAGAATTGCCCCGCAATGAGCCAGATAAGTCCTTGGCTGATGAAAGTTCGGCTGATAGCATAATTGGTCCTGAAGAATTGGAACAGGGACTTCAATCCGATGGACCTGCAGAGGCCGAGCCGGCTTCTTATTGCATCGACTTGAAGGGCGACACTGAAAAATCCACTGGACCTAAGTTGCCTCTGGTACTACCTGAACATCCAGAGCTGGACAAAGACACCTCCAGCGAAGAGGAAATTCTGCTTTTCAAAGGCCGAGACAAACCACGGGTGCCCCCACAGCCAACGACGATTTCAGTGACACAAATGCAGACTGAAATAAGAGTTGTAGAGGAGCAACTCGAAGCCAGTTCACAACGTCAGGGTGCTATCGAGGTCCCTAAGAAAACTAGTCGTGAGAGGAGACGCAATCAGAGGCAGCAGAAGCATCGACATAACAATGATGAGGACGAGTTGATAGCGGACTATGTCGCGAACATGCGAGAGAACGGGGAGATGCCTGACATTCTACTCCCAACCCCTCTCAGCCGGCGAGATTTGGGAGGCTCACCAAGCCCTATCGTGTCAGACGGCACTGACGATGAAGATAATCAGAAGAGTCAGGCTTCTGCTAAAGATCAGACTGGTGGAAACGACACAGGAGAGGGAGAATCAAGCACCAAAGCTGATCAGTATGCGTCGGAGAGCGAGCTTGATGATGAGGCTCTTGCAAACCTCCTTTCTCAAGGCCAGACCACCTATCCTCTTGAAGGTATTGTTGCAAGCTCTTCAAGTTCCAGTGACTCGGATGAATCCGACACAGGCCCCTTCCGAACTACCGACGCGGATGATCTTGATATGTACATGGACTGGGAACGCCCGAGTTTGCTTGCACAAAGCAAGAGACGAAAAAAGAAATCCGCTCTCGGTCGGATAAACTACACTGGCTCCGACCCAGAGATCGAGCAACGATTACAACTTGCATGGAACAGCGATCGACTTAAAAAGGCGGAACGCAAGAAACAACGTGAGGAGTTGCGGGCACTTGGTCAGCTTGGTAAAAAGACAACGTCTCCTGGGGACTTGAGAGTCAAGTACCCGGATGGTATGACTATTGACCAGATTACTGAGGAGCTGAAGGGATTTCTGCTCGATTCAGAACCAACGTGAGTTGTCTAGCGTCCTGGCCAGTTTCTCAGCGCCAATATATCTACCAGAACTAACTCTTTCCAGTCTCACATTTCCACCCATGGACACTCACGGACGCAAAGTGCTCCATGAGCTTGCGAACAAATTCAATATCAAATCCAAGTCCACCGGCAAATCTGATCAACGCCGAACAACGCTGTATAGAAACAACAGAACACTCCCATTCACAGAGCCAAAGTTTGACCAGGCCGTCGGAAGAATACACCGAAAGTATTTCCCACGACTCGACACCAAAGGTAAAAGAGCGCCGCGGACTCAAGCCAATAAATCTGGCCACGCCGCCGCGAGCTACCACGAGGGCGAAATTGTCGGTGCAGCCGCTCCAGAATTGGGCAGCGAAAACCGCGGCCGCGCCATGCTGGAGAAAATGGGTTGGAGCAGTGGAACCGCGCTGGGTGCTATGCACAACAAGGGTATTCTGCAACCAGTTGCGCAAACGATGAAAAAGGGCAAAGCAGGTCTTGGCTAATGTGACGTGCGGGTCGCGAACGATATGCTGTGCGTCAGTTGGTCTCCCTCGCCGGGCAGACCCGGAAAATCTGTGTTCAGTATGTAGACAGTCAGGTAACTCAAAACAAATGTCACGGATTGCGAAAATAGAAAGCGATGTTAGTGGTTCAGGATATCATGTGCGATAATTCTCATTGATTTTCGAGTCCCAAACCTCGAATAGTGTACAACCGCGAACCCCAATTGCCCGTTTGAAAACATTGACCCCAAAAGCAAGACCATCCGTAACGCATTAATAAAGATCCCAATCGAGCAAGGTTTCCCTTGCTACCAGCGGGGAACAGCTCATGAAACCCCGATGCCGCGCGATTAAAAGACTCAGATACCCAGCACTGGGCACTGTTGGCCAGCTTATTTGGTGGAGGATGAGTACTTGGTGACGGCCTTGGTACCCTCAGAGACGGCGTGCTTGGCGAGTTCACCGGGCAGGATCAGGCGAACAGAGGTCTGGATTTCGCGGGAGGAAATGGTAGACTTCTTGTTGTAGGCGGCAAGCTTGGAAGCCTCAGTGGCGACGCGCTCGAAGATATCTGATTGTGGTGTTAGAAAAAGACGCGTCAAAGATGTGTGAATTTGAAAACCGGAAATGACTCACCATTGACGAAAGAGTTCAGGATGGACATGGCACGGTTGGAGATACCAGTGTCGGGGTGGACCTGCTTGAGGACTGAATTGACTCGAGTTAGAATGTGGTTTTCAAATCAGGTTCAAATGACTTCGGACTCACCCTTGTAGATGTAGGAGCTGTAAGTCTCCTTGCGGGTCTTGGTGCGCTTCTTCTTGTCACCAGAGGCAGCAGTCTTCTTTCCGGCATCCTTCTTCTCAGGAGCCTTGGAGGCGACGGGAGCCTTGTTGGCGGGACGCTTGTCGGCAGCAGCTTTGGGAGGCATTTTGGCTGGTTTGAAAGGTGAAAAATTGAGTTTGAAAAAAACTGCGTGAAGTTGACCTGAGTCTGTGAGTGAAGTGCGTGTAGACGGCGTGTGTTGATGGAAAGTGGATGACGAAGGAGGGAAGAAGTTTGGGGGTGGGCTTGGGTATTTGTAGCTGGACGCGTTGCCGCAACAGAGGGTTACTGATTTCCTCCCTGCGCGCCGCGAAACCGACTCGCTGTGGAGGCGGCAATGCGCTGATGGCTGGTGCAGGCAAGCGCACCAGGGGAGCGTGTGGTTGGCTGGGCGGCTGGTTGGGCGGACCCACCGGGTGCTGCTGCGGGCCTGCACGCAATTGGGCGGGCGCGTTCTGGACGATAAGTTCACTGATCTTGGCCTGGTAAGCAGACTGCCGCACGAGCCACTGTTCCCGATTAGGCGAACTGCTGCTTTTCGAAATACTCTACTGCTAGCATGAACTCTTTTTTTGATTGGTCAGTTAAATCAACATTTGCCTTCACGCGCACCCACTACCCTACATCCCTTGTGTTCTCTACGAGCGCATCGCGATGTTCCTCGTGCACGGCTGGGTGAATGGAAATGTAACAGTAATCATAAGCTCATGCGCATCCATGTGGTCTGGCTTTGCCACTTATTGGCCTTCAGTTCGGGCATGTTTTTGTTGGTATCCTGAAAGAACTACTGTTGGTGCATGTAATGCAGTGGTGCTCACCGGTATTTGGGTTTACACCGACACATTGAGGATCAACCAGAGAAGTAGCAGTGGATGGGCAGGTTGAAACAACACGAAGAGAATCAAGAACACATGCACATCATCTACGCCGTCTCCACGCCGACAAAAGTAATTAACACTGGCAAAAAGTACAGCAACGAACCTAATTGCTCCGAGCTGTTCGAGCTGGCTCCACCAAATACAGTGACGTAGATGGAGGCAACCGTTCAAAGCTTGGGGAACAAGATCCAGAGCATCCACTCGAATCTGCATACGACATGGTACTGGTTACTGGTCCAACCTTGCTTGGAAAAGGAGCTTTGCTTCGCACATAAGCTTCACGGCAGTTGTTATGCATGCACAAAGGCTAGCTGATGCAAAGTGCGTGCTGTTCAGGGCCCGGAGATTGCACCTCCTTACGAAGGCTACCTATGATCAAGCAACACGCAGGAAGCTCAACACGCATACTACTATTACTACAAGCACACAATAAGCATTGCACAATCAAGGCGCGACCAAAAGAAGACGAGCCTGAGATGCAATCACGAGTGAAAAAAAGAGAACGCGATGAGTAGAGACACATTGCTCCAAAACAAAAAGGAAAATGAACTGGAAATCACGAGAACGGAAGAACCAATGAAGCGTGAGTGAAGGAAACGCATGCGATCTTGATTCCGTGATGGCGACAGAGATGCGCAGTTCCGTGCACGAACCCCACAGCAAGGGAGATCAGAAAGAGAGATCGAGCGCCGAGTGTGCTCTCTTTCCTTGGTGGCAGTGGCAGAGCAGAATAAAATACAGGGGCGCATTAGGCAAGGTGGGTGCGAGGCTGCTACGGATTGGTTGATTTGATTTGTTTTTTTTATTGCTGCTGCTCCTAAAATCCGGCGCGCCCAATTTCCGAGTTGGGGTTAGCGCGGAATAACGCCAGAGGTGAGGGATGGATGGGTGATCCGCGATGACAGCTTGCGCGCGCCGAAAAGTACTTAACCTCTGGGCCCCGCCAACCTCATCACTTGCTCCCTTTCACTCTCAATTGTTATCCAACGCAACCCGTCTACTTACTGCTCCAACTCGTCTTCTCGACCTCGCCTCCCTCCAACTTCTCAACTTTTTCAAGTTTTTTTCCACCCCAACCAAATCAATCAAAATGACTGGCGGCGGCAAGTCTGGTGGCAAGGCCTCTGGCTCCAAGAACGCTCAATCGTAAGTGTTTATCCATTTCACATCGAAGTCGCGTCCCAAATCACTCAAAGTGACGCGTTCTTCCATTGATTTTCATTCCATGACCTTTGACTAACATTCAACAGCCGTTCCTCCAAGGCCGGTCTCGCGTTCCCCGTTGGTCGTGTCCACCGTCTTCTCCGCAAGGGCAACTACGCCCAGCGTGTCGGTGCCGGTGCTCCCGTCTACCTCGCCGCTGTTCTCGAGTATCTCGCTGCTGAAATCCTCGAGTTGGCCGGTAACGCTGCCCGTGACAACAAGAAGACCCGTATCATTCCCCGTCATCTCCAGCTCGCCATCCGAAACGATGAGGAGTTGAACAAGCTTCTGGGCCACGTCACCATCGCCCAGGGTGGTGTCCTCCCCAACATCCACACAAGTGAGTTATTTTCTCATCTCATTCAAACTGGATCTCAAATACTAATGCGTTTGATCCAGACCTCCTGCCCAAGAAGTCTACCGGCAAGGGTGGAAAGGGACCCAGCCAGGAGCTGTAAGCGCTTCTATTGGGTTTTGCTTTCTCGCGATAGTTGGTTTGGGTGTCATGACATTTGGGGTCTCGGTTTAGGGTTAACGGTTGCTTATTTTACGCGTTTGGGTTGTACTATAATCGCCTCGGCTATGGTCACGAATCAGAATACCATTTCAAGATGATCATATTTGTTCCAGGCTTCCGTGACTCTCACCCGAACCGTGTCTTTTGACTCACATTTGCTCAGCGCAATTACATTTTAGTTTTCAACGCAATCACATGTTTGCATTGGCTTCGCCCAGCTTGTTTGGTCAAGTGCCCACGGGTTGGTTTTTCCATGTCTTATAAACCATGGCATTTTGGTGAGTTGTCATGGCGCGAAGCGAACGGCATCGCGGCGCTGGCGTTTGATACTTGCGGGACAACGCAATTTCTCGGTTGAGTCGATTCTTTGCGGATACGATATGTGTCGTGGGTTTCCGTGGTTTGCGACGGTCATCATGAGGAGCTGCATTTTCATCGAAATATCTTGTCGCATGTTGCGCCTGCTGAGGCGCCCGCAACGGCACGAATATATGGTCTAGAGCATCTCTGAAACGCCGGCATGATTAAATGGACGTTTAGATTGGGTTCAGCGATAGGAATTAAGGATTTCGCGGGGTGCACACATAGTTCGAGCTTTCTACTATATATCATTCACGAGTAGTTCCTTGCTAGGTTGTCATACGGTCATGTAGAAACCTCCCCCATGGGAAAATGAAAACTGCATTCCAGTAATGCTAATTGTACCCGACGTCTAAAATATACATATTTGCCTAGGTTTTCTCCTTCCAACTCTTCCGGCTTCAAACATGGTGGTTGGGTGGTGCTAAAGAGGACATGAGAACTTGAGCCCAAGAAGGGTTGCTGGGTTCGCTTTTACTTACGTGTGAGAACTGGAGAGGGTAGGTTTCGCTCGTACTTGGAACCTACACAGACTGTTAGAAAAATGTCGCACGAAAACAGAGTGCGTAATCCCATACCTCCGGGTGCTGTGGGATGGACATATGGATCAGGGTGCTTCCAGCTCTCGAGCAGCTTCTCTGTCTCTGATAGGAGTGCCTGGTTTCGCCAATTAGTCGGTGTCCAATATTTCCAAATCGTAAAACTTTTTGCCGCCGGTTGCTGCTCACTCTTTGCGTCTTTGGGTCTGAAACATTGCGGTTGGCTTCGAATAGAGATCGGATATAGAGAGCCTGGCCACGCCAGAGGTGGCGGTGAACTGCCCAGTCCAAAGCCAGCTTCAGCGAGCGGCGGTACAGCGATCTGTTCCGAGGCAAGAGTTAGCCATCCGGTGTCCCTCCAGTGGGCGGCAGGATCGGGTGCATATGGGTACTGACAATGCGGCTCGTCGCGTCGTCGACATTGTGGGCGTCGGCAGATAGGCTGGGTTCCTGTCCAATTGGGTAAGCGGGTGAGCTTGGAATCGGCAATAACAATCGTCCATGGCAATTGAGACATGGAGTGTGGCTTCTGGCGTACCGGTGATGTTCTCGACGGCTCGGCTACACTGCACTGGGAGGAAAACAGCTCGAGCTGTGGCGTCTCAACCTGCGCAGATGAGGCACTATTTGTTCCCTGGGGGAGAAAGTCAGTCAATGGCTCGACGGTGCGCATCTCTG